CAAGCAGACTGACTGGCCACGACCTATTGCGCGAATACCCGTTTAATAATATGTTGTTAAATTCGAATCCTTAAACATTAGTAAGGGTTCCTCAAGAGAATAAAGTACCTACATTTAAAAAAAAAATACGTTGCCCCACATTAGGATTTTCTCCTGTGTCGTGGGTGCGTTTACAAACATACAATGTCACATGCACATCACACCCAGACCCGGAACAACAATCTGTGGATCACACAAAGAGTTGTTCCGTGCGGGAATAGAACCCGCGACACGTTGCGCGGCAGCCAGTTGCCCAGCCACCGCGCCAACCGTGCAGTCAACAAATTAGATATAACAATGTCATATCTAGTTTTGAATAGAATGTAACATCTTTGTCAGCCTTAAAACAGAATATTATAACCAGAAATAGCCCCAAGCAAACCCTTTGTGCTCCAAAAAGATAAACTCAAAATCTCACGACAACCCATGTAAATATATTTTTCAAACAAAAATTACAAAACGTGTCTGATTGCGATTCATTTCTGTTCAACTACATAGATAATACAAACAATGTTTATAATAAATAGTATTTGCGTTAAAAAGGTATTTAGTTAAACGATTAATTAATTATTTTACGTAGGTTTTAATGTCGACCTTCGTGATTATCTATTTATTCTTCTTAGATCTAAACAAAAGCGTGATAACCCATGTGTAACGTGAGATAGGTAGGTGATACAATACTACGTATATGGAGTTTCTTCACGTTTTTTTATGTGGTACAATGGCAGGCCAGTATACTGATTAAAACGCATTTTACCCCATCTAAATATTTTACGCATGTTGCCACACGATTTATGGGCTAAATTACATAAGTCACTACAATTAGCAACCTGCCCCAGCTTTGCCCCGGGTTCAATGCTGATACTTCGTCTTCTTTATTCACTGTATCTAATAAAAAAAGGCATCAAAATTCATTGCGTACTTTTAAAGATGTAAATATACATAATTAGGGATATAGGAACAGAGACAGCGACTTTGTTTTATACTATGTAGTGAAAATGCTACGCCGTAGTAGCGTAGAATCGTAGCCAATTTGTCGTAGCACTGTAGAACAAGGTTGACGATGGAGATTGAGAATGAGACAGTCATGGCGTTTTATTTTGAAAAATATATCGAATAATACGGATCACTTTCATTCGAACAAACAAAGGTTCAAGAATAAAACAATCAATTAAAGAAATAAACTTAATCCGAGTAACTGTTTGTTAGACAATCCATTAGTTAGTTCAGTAACTGCGCGGTGTTTGTAAACTACGTTAACTACCGGTTACTATCGGGTTACTAAACCGTTAAGCTTAGAGTTAACGATCGCTGTGACGTCACTAATCGGTCGGGATGGATTACTGGACTGTTGCAGTGGGGATCGATGTGTTTCTTGTTTCTTTTATAAAGGACTAGCTATTCACCCGCTGCTCGGCTCCTTTTGTTGATCGTAGTGTGATGTTTACCTTTTTTATAGGACAAGCGAGCATACGAGCACGGATTACCAGGTGGTAACCAATCAGCGTCCATGGACACCCACAACAATAAAGATGTTACGAGTGCGTTGCCGGTCTTTTGGAGAAAAGAGTTGCGGATATCTAAGTACTGGGAAGGGATAGGGGGATTGGACCTCCGGTAACCTCACTCTCACGGCGAAACAGAACATTGTGTGTTGTTTTCGACGGTTTGCTGTGAGGCCGTGGTATCACTCTAGACGAGTCGACCCATTCGTGCTCAAGCTTGGCTCTCCCACACTTAAAACTTTAATTACCTATAGCACTCAAGAATATTGTAGCTATATGTATATCAGTGAAAGAATTTTGGCAATCCGACCAGCGGTTCCAAATCCCCTACATACAAACTTACAAATTTTACCTCTTTATAATATTAGTATAGGTAGGCTGGCAAACGCGACGGATCGCCTGATGGCGGCAATCGGTAACCGTCCATAGACACCCGCAAGACCAGAGAAGTTTCAAGTGCGTTGTCGACCTTGGGAAATAAAACTGGTGTGGTTATTTTCTCAAAAGACCACAACAGAATGAACTTGCACGGTTCTCTCACATTATATTATTTTTACATTGTCGTGACTTGAAAAAAAAAAGAGACTGACCTCTGAGTTTGTTTCGGCATTTCTTCTCAGAGTAGTCAGATAGGAAATGCCGGCTTCATCTAGTTTTTCACATATAAATTGATATGTAAAAGTGGCGTTTTATGGCCTATTTGCAAAATCAATTCATTGTTTCATTGTTTTATAGAGATTTTACAAATGGTGCGAGGACTGGGCATCTAGTAAATGTAACTTCATTCACACGGCGAAACAAAACGTAAGTGTTGTTTTATACCAGTTTTCTGCGAAGTCCAGCTGTCTCTCCGGTCCTATTCTCTGGTATTGCAATTCTCCATAGGCGGTGCCGAATACCTGACATAAGGTCATGTTTGTCGTCCTACCCTATTAGGGACCCACAGACGGGGCCCTAAAGGGCTGATGTTCAGCCGGGGTTGCGGGGTAAGCGCAATGAGGTACCGCGACCTCGGCACAGCAGGAGAAGGAACAGGGGGGTTTTTAGTCAGTAAGAGTCTGACACTCCCTCCTGCCCGGCCCTGGGCGAGAGAAGTCATTTGATAATTTTCCCCTCACAAAAAAACCCCATTAGGGATGTGTAATGTAGGTATTAGTAAATAAATAGATAATTTATACAAATAGTATAAGGCGGTAGAATAGTAAAAGTTTGTATCTGGCAGTTGAATTATAACCGTGCTGTTGGACGTTTGCATTTAAAAAAAAAACAAAAAGTATTTATAATGATATGTATGATAATACAATACAACAAAAGTAGAGGGTAGGAGAAAAATATGCGTCCGAGCACGACTAACATTTCATTCATTTCATTAATCTCAAATATAATAATTGACAGTGGCGACGAAAAGCGTAAAATAGGAAAATATTGCGTGTGATTGTGTGTGCTATTGATAGCAGGAAACAGCGCAATAATGCAACGCAGCTCCGACTCGAAGCAGGAGAAGGAACAAGGAGGTTTTGAGTCAGTAAGACTCTGTCCCTTTCCCCCGCTCAACCCAATGCGGAAAAAGTCATCTGTACATACTAATATCATAAAGAGGTAAAATTTGTAAGTTTGTATGTATGGGGTAACCTTTGGAACCGCTGGTCGGACTTCTCAAATTCTTTCACTGATACATAGCTACAATGTTCCTGATTGCTATAGTCTATAAAACATCAAGCTACGATCAAATGAAGCTGAAAAGCGGCCGAAACCGCGCGAGAGTAGCTAGTAAACTATAAAGATTTCCCTTCATCCAAAAAACTCATAAATATGTAAAAAGGTTTATTTCCTACTTTTGAACTCGGTACTTGGAGAATAGAGGAAAATATTACCAAATAATAATAATATTAAAATTATTCTGTAATTGTTCTACTTGTAATTCTTGTAATACAGAGTAGGAATAAACGTGGCTCACCTTACGACCTCCAGGAAGAGGGCTCAGCCCTCAGGCTATAGAGTTACTAAGTAAACACAGTATGATTTATTATACTGTATTGATATTTCTTGATTAAATTATATTCCGTTATTCGAGACAAGCAAGTTATAAGGAATATTATATTGTACTGTTCTCATATTTTGTTGTTAATTTTGTGATTTCTGTTTATGTTTCTGGTTGGAATTGCTTGGCTTTGGTTATACTGGTAACTAAAAGTAGCCAGAGCTGGCAGAACATTTGTGTATATAATATGTATGGATATTATGTAAATTCTATCGACCCGCCCCGGCTTTGCATGGGTGCTATTCTGTGTATAAAATGTATATATGTATGCTATACTTAATGTCTCCACTTTTTAATGGATGTTATTATGTATAAGAATACCTTCTTAATAAACAGTTTTCCTTTGGTCACTTTCGTAAATAAATAAGACAACAAAATCCTTAGTATAGTTTTAAAGAATAAATCTTATATATAAAAATGGATCACAAAATGTGTTTGTAAGCGCATAACTCAACAACGCCTGGACCAATTTTGCTAATTCTTTTTTTGTTGCGTTCGTTATTGTCTGGAGAGGGTTCTTATCTAAGAAAATGTTTGAAAAGTAGAGGGGAAGATTAGGAAAAGTGACCCTTTGATAGCGAGATAGTTGGCCTGACCCGTGCGAAGCAGGGGCGGTGTGCTAGTATTATATAGAGATATATAGGGACAGAGAAAGCGATATTGTTTCATGATAAATACTATGTAGTGATTATGAAGAAACCAAATAAACACCTTTGCGTATTTATTTTAATTAATATTAACACAAGTTTCTACCTCTATTTCACCCGCGTTATCTGGAAATAATAACGCAGCGTATGTGTTATGTATTATTTCAGACTATAATGTTTTCTCCTGGGGCAATATTCATTAAATGCCCCAAAGATTTTTTTACATTTTTAACATTAAACAGTTATTACCAAAGAACAAAAAAAAACAAATTATTTATGTGGGCATAACGCATCCAAACACTCAAAAAGGAAAAAAAAACAAAAAGAAACGAGTTAGAATAAAATAAACGTCAAAATGAATTCATAAACCAACATATTGGGGAAAATATCAAGACAACGGTTTATTAACCAGATTCTTTATATTTTAGTGTCGTAGTATTACGATATAAAGAGGCCTGTAGATTTACAAAAAATAACACCAAAATTTGTCCTACCCACTTTTCACAGGACAGACACCCAGGTCTGTTTTTGACATCACATACGTGCAGCTAGTTCTCAGCAAAATTGGTACTGTTAGACGACGAAAGTCAACTAAATGAACGTCACTAATTTAATCTTTGTTCTTGGCAACACTAGCTACCGTGTTGAAGCTGTCATCTGTCAACTGTGACAGATTAATAAAGTTTTTGGTGGGAAGTTTCTTATAAAAATCCGTTTTTATTTAAATTATATATTTGAGAGTGTGGTGTTTTACTTAAAAGTACTCACATGTGGAGATGTGATGGACTTTCTGCTGTCAGTGTTGCTCGCTTGTCTGGAGAAGGAGGGCGCGTGGACGCTCATCGGAGACCCTGGCTCCGAGTCTGTTTTACCTTCATTGCTGCTGTTCCCTGCTTCCTGTCGGAAAGAAAATTTATTGCTACAGTAATTTTTTCTCAAGGGATAAGTCCGTCATGACCACACACAACCAAGTAAATGAGAGCCATGCATGGACACAAATGGAGCAGTTCGACTGATACAAGTTGATTCATAAAAAACAACTCCTCCGTGTGTTTCGAAGCAGAAATGAGGTTATCTGCTCAAGGCGCAATTCCACAGGAGCAAGAATTCCCCACCCCCAATCCCTGAACACCCGATTATCAAATCTCGTCCAATTCCAGTCCATTGTTGAGTGCTATAATTGTCAGTAAACTCGCATATTTTCCACATTCAACGGCCCTGGCATAACTTGAAACTAATCGAGTTCGTTCCCCATAGCCACGAAGATTAACAAGCCAAGCAGCTTGATTAAGTTAACTATGGAATAATGGTATGCGCACAAAACTGCGGAAAATATAAAGTAGGTATCTATGTTATGTAGTTTAGTATCAACCTACGCTTAGCTTCTTATTGCAGCTGCAAGTAATACATAAGTGTAATACAATACCTAGGTATATACTACGTCCTAGTTTCCAAGTAGTGCGGCTACAAGCAGGCAATTAAGACTTTGCGACTTTGCAAGAACAACTGTCTAGTTATAATGTATGTAGAATTAAGACCAAGAAATTTATTTGAAGAAAAAAGGAAAGAAAGAAAGAAAACACATTTATTCGACAAATAGGTACACAAATACAAGTATATAAAAAATAAATAATAAGAAACACAGATATTTATAAATACAATAATAATATAATAAACAAAACAAGAGTATTAACTAAGAATATTACTAAATATTAACTACTAATCTAAGTGTGGGAGAGCCATGCTTCGGAACGAATGGGTCGGCTCGACCGGAGTGATACCACGGTCTCACAGAAAACCGGCGTGAAACAACCACAGTGTTGTGTTTCGCCGTGTGAGTAAGGTTACCGGAGGCCCAATCCTTCCCCTTCCCCAATCCCTTCCCAGTTCCTAAATCTCCAAATCCCTAATCCCTAAAAGGTCGGCAACACACTCGTAACTCCTCCGTTGCGTGTGTCCATGGGCGGCGCTGTTTGCTTACCATCAGGTAATCCGTCTGCTCGTTTGCCGACCTATAACACAAAAAATAAAAACAACAAAACGGGTATAAAGTATCAAAAAAACAAAAAAAGAACGAAAATAAAACGTTAAAATAATAATATTCATGTGCCCATTACAAAAGGGCCTCCAGCTCAGCATATATTTGAGCGAATATGCTCAACGCTGATTTTCAGGTGGCACCCTGCAGAGACTCACGTCACGGACGGCGGTACCGCCACTCAGTAAAGAAAAGAAGTGATAAGAATATTTCATCTTGTGCTTTTTATACCGTCACGAATATTTTTTGTTTGTGTTACATAAAACTGATGTTTTGTATGTTTAACTGATTGCAAGCGTGTCACTTATGGACAATCGTGCTTAATCACTGCATTGTCGCTTACTTTACCACCAGGCCAGATAGTACATAAATGCAATATAAAAAAAACTTTCGCATCCAGTTGAGATTCACATTCATTTTAATATATGCTTAAAATAGGGGAGCTCAGGATGTTGCGGGGCAAGCGTAATAAGGCACCGCGACCTCAGACCAGGGGGAAAATCATAAAATGCATTCTCTCGCTGCGTCAGAATCTTATTGGTTATCACACAGTTTGTCAATGGTGTCTTCAGAAACTTAGAAAGTAGGTTCATCAAGTAGGTTTACGTATTTTCCAGAAAATCGCATCCAAACATTTTGCTTCTTGGTGAATGTACACAGAGTATATGAAAATCTACCGTCCCTGGTCATAAAGCCTTCAAGGTCCGCGCGTTCTATTTGTAGAGCGTGGCAATTTATTATAATTATGTATGTAAATTAATGTTCTCTGAAGCTGCAGTTCGCTTTTGTGACTGGACTTGTAATTAGCATATTCGTATGCCTTTGATCTTTGCAGCAGTGTGGTATCCAGTAGATATAACATATACATATATGCACTATTAAATGCGTTTAATCATTCTGCGCATCCCTAAAATCAAAACCCTCAAACACAACAATCCAAAAGACATTTAAAACTCCTCTTCAAGATCTATGGACGGTTCTGATTGCTTACCGATTGTCGATATGGTGGGACATTTTTTTATCATGTACAAAACGTTGCCCCACAAAAGGATTGTCTCCTGTATCGTGGGTGCGTTTACAAACATACAATTGCACATTCACATCACACCCAGACCCGGAACAACAATTTGTGGATCACACAAAGAGTTGTTCCGTGCAGGCGTCGAACCCGCGACACGTTGCGCGGCAGCCCAACGTGCCAAATGGGCAACTCCCAGCCACCGCTTTGATAACGTTTATTGCAGTCGTTTTCATAATATTAATGTATTTTTCTTTAATGTATCTAATTACCCATTGTTTACTCGGAAAGAAATCGTAAATTGTTTCTAATTTATTTGGTAACGTCCTTCTAAGAGATTTTTAAATAGTTCTTAATTGGTATTTGAAACAGATCTCATAGTTGCACATTTTATTTATGTTTAAGCTTTGTACTTCTTCTTTAAGTGACAAATTCACCATGATAATCTATGCACTATATGTTATAGTGAATACGTCATTGGAGTATCTTTATAATAAAATTAAATAAATATAAAATGTCTGATGATTCAAAAAGGTATCTACCTATACAGCTAATTTGAAAATAGAATCGTTTCATTCCATTACTCGATTGGTTAGAATTAAATCCTATCAAGGCTGGCGCTCAGTGTAACTTTACCAATGAATTGGTTTCAGAGCTTAGTACAAGCGGGCAATGATTGCATTACGTAATAACACCACTGAAGGGGATTATTTCATAGTGCAAAGGGAATTATAATGGACTTTAATACTAATATTATATTTGTTTAATAACACTAAAAATAATGACGTACGTTTAAGAAAAACATCATGAGGCTTGACACCTAGACTTATCTATATATTTGTATAAAAATCAACACCACTTTTCATTGTAAAAAAGTCAAAAAGTCAAAAGTCAAAATTATTTATTTCAATTAGACCCATACAGGCACTTTTGAACGTCAACACAACTTTAAAGATACAAAGTGTCAGTCTGTCGGTCAGTCCTCTTAGTGAAGCTATTCGCTCGTTCCAAAGTGTAGATTCCGATGGAGAAGAACGAGCAAGAAACTCCATGGTTACTCTTTTAAAATCAGTGTCACATAAACATTCTTTGATACATTATTTAGTTAGTTTGAATATGTGAGAACAGTGTAACGCGTGTATACAGAGAAACATAAAAAGAAAATAACCTTAAGGACAATAGACAGTCCGGAGCTGACCAGTCCCAATTGACGGCGCCCGTTCACGAGCATGACACGTACACCAGCATCGCCCAACTCAACCATAATATAGGGAATCGAGCGATCCAGTGACCGTGCCACCGCCAATGTGACCTTTGAGTGAGCATGACAACTCCAAGCTGACATATGGACCGACATTCTGCTAGTCTAACTAATTTTAATAGGTTACAGGGCACTCACATTTACAAATTTATCAAGTTTAACAATAAAAATAGCATGGTTACAAATTTACAAAATCTAAGAACTTCCGTTCAAGCAAAGATCCACTGGAACATTATTTATATTCGTGTAGGTATATTATCCTGTGGAGCAGGACCAGCCCGTCTCCAAGCATCCTTATCCTCAATATAATCACTCAGTTTGTAATATGCTTTTTTACACAAAGTTTTCTTTATACATAATTTAAAATTTCTTTCATTTAATTGTTGTATTTCGCCTGGGATTTTGTTATAACACTTAACGCTGAATCCCATGAACGACTTGTGTACCTTTGCCAATCTAAATAATGGCTGACACAATCTATCTCTATGTCTAGTTTGGTAATTATGTCTGTCTGATACCTTATCAAATAATATTAAGTGTTTCCTAACATACATTATATTTTCATAAATAAACTGACCGGGCACAGTCATAATATTGATCTCTTTAAATTTATCTCTAAGAGATTCGCGAAGCCTTAGGTTGTAAATTGCTCTGATTGCACGCTTTTGCAAGACAAATATAGACTCAATGTCAGCAGCCTGTCCCCACAACAAGATGCCATACGACATAATGCTATGAAAGTAGCTGAAGTACACCAGTCTTGCAGTGTCCACATCTGTTAGCTGTCGGATCTTCCAGACAGCAAATGCTGCAGAACTCAACCGTCCTGCCAGAGATGTGATATGGGGCCCCCATTGTAGTTTTTCATCTATGGTTATACCCAGAAAAGTAGTCTGTTTTACAAATTCCAATTTCTTGCCGTTTAATAATATGTCACATTCGTTACTTTTTACATTTGGTAAACTGAATCGTATACACTTTGTCTTTTTGTCGTTTAGAACTAAATTATTAACTGTAAACCAGTTATGAACCTTCGCAATAGCATTATTTACTTCGTCATAATTATTTGTCCGTCTATTTATTTTAAAAATCAACGATGTGTCATCAGCAAATAATACCATTCCCGGTTCTCGCTGAAATAAATGAGGTAAGTCATTTATGTAGACCAAAAATAGGAAAGGACCTAATATCGAGCCCTGTGGTACGCCCATAGATATGCTAGCACCCTGAGAATTCACTTTGTTTACCTGTACTTTAAGCTGCCTATCCTGGAGGTATGATTTTAATAAATTGAGTGAAGCCCCTCGAATACCATAGTGTTCCAACTTTAGCAACAGTGTCTCGTGTTCGACGCAATCAAAAGCCTTGGACAGGTCACAAAAAATTCCAATAGCGTCGTGCGACTCCTCCCACGAGGCAAAAACACGCTTAATTAAAGTTACACCGGCGTCAGTTGTGCATCGACCTTTGGTGAACCCATATTGTTGATCATGAAAGATGGAATTCATGTTAAAGTGACGCAGCATCTGAGAAAGCATCAGCTTTTCAAACACCTTACTAAGCACCGGTAAAATAGATACCGGCCTATAATTATTAGGATCGGTATCATCGCCAGATTTAAACAGTGGAACTACTTTGCTATGTTTCATCAAATTTGGAAAAACTCCCTGATCTACACTTCTATTATAAATTAAAGCTAAATGAGGCGCTATAGCTTCTATAAAAGCCCTACACACTGCAACAGACATTCCCCAGAGATCCTCTGTAGACTTAACTTTAATGTCTTTAAACGCCTTTATTACTGATTGGGGGTTTGTGTACTGAAATTGGAAATCAGAACGGCATTCTTTAATATTTCTTTTGAGAAGACTAATTGAAAGTGCCGGAGATGATTCTAAGTCCTTTGTAGTTTCAATGGGGATATTCTTGAAAAAAATTTCAAATTCTTGTGCAACTTCCCGATTTACACTAACATGTCCATTTCCGGTATTTAAATTAATTTCCGTGTTATGCAATTTATGTCTGCCTGTCTCATTGTTAATTATTTTCCATGTAGCCTTTGTTTTATTTTCAGCGTTCTTAATCTTACGGCTAATGTAAAGAGATTTTGCTTGCTCACAGACCATTTTAAATATTTTTGCATATTTGGACACATGCTTGCTAAAGGCTTCGCTTGTATTAAATGGTTTCATACCATATAGTTCAAATAACTTTCCCCTACTTCTACGAATACCGGGGGTAGCCCAGTCACAGAATACAAATTTACATTCAATGATTTTACGTTTTAAGGGGAATAATTTATCAAATTGGGTTTTAATAATGGCCAGTAAGTTGGCATAAATCTCACTTGGACCTTCATAATCATGTGATGGGCTGCATAATATTTGCTTTAAATTATTATTTAATGACTCAACTTTTTTATCCGTGATATGTCTAAACAATATTTCCTTTTTTGGCACCGTTGTGATGTTGTTTAAGTTTATTGTTAACCCACTGTGATCTGATGGTAAGCTATTAACAATATTTTTGTGCAAATAATCACAGTTACAAAATATATTATCTATACATGTAGCCGAGGTGGATGTTACTCGGGTGGGCTCAAGGAATACATTAGACAAATCAAAAGATTTAAAAAGACTTACTAAATTAATACAATTAGAATTGTTTTCCAAGAGATCAATATTAAAATCGCCACATACTATTGTAAATTTACTGTTCGAACACGTTTTCTGCAACACTTGTTCCATAACAGAGTTAAAAACGTTTAAGTTTTGTAAGTTTGGAGGTCTATAGACGCATATCACAACATGCCCATCCAGCTCTACACAGGACAATTCTATTGTATGTTCAATGGAAAGTGAAGTTATATCTTGTCTTTCTTTATACTTAATTGAGTTTTTTAATAAAATTAAACTACCACCATGAATCATTGCTTGACGGCTAAAGAAACTACCAACACAATAGTTTTTAAAACTCATAAATTCTACTTGATACTTCTTCATCCAATGCTCTGTTATACAAATTATGTCAAATTTAAATTTTTCTAAAAATAATTCCAATTCTAGTAATTTGGATGAAATGCCCTGAATATTTTGACTAAGGAGTGTAATATTTCCTTGTTTGTGTTTATTATATAATATGCGGCGAGAAGAAACCTTTTGATAATTTGTAGTATGAGAATTCATTAGGTTATCTTCTGTTGTCTCAAAATTTAATTTAAAAATTTTTGTAATGTTATAACTCAACAATGCCTTTACCGATTTGGCTAATTTTGGTCTTGAGTTCAACGAAGGCTTAAGAGGCCAAAAAAATAGTCATATTTGAGGCGATACGGAGTTCGCCAGGTCAGCTAGTAATTTCTGGTTTCGTTCCGCCTTGAGCATGCGTGGTGAATAATGCTTAAACTTTCTCCGTGTGTGTAAAAACCTTTGCTCAGCAGTGGGCACTTATAGGCTGTTTATTAGTGTTTATGTGATTACATAAGTGCTGTCTTACACAATGATTTGTCATGAGTGAGTATAGGAAGATACATAGAAATTCACATGCAAATCACACCTAAACCCCGAACAACAATTTGATCACACGAAGAGTTGTGTTCTGCGGGAAGCGAACCCGAAGTTCGCACAGTAGTCATTTTTTTCGCCTGACAAAAAGTTGTTTTTGAAAAGATGTTTAATTTACATTTATAAAGAAATTGTATTGTTTTGATGTTATTGTAATTGTGATTATCGAGGTATTTCTTTTGTTGTATTGTGTTTGACATTTGCCAATTTGAAAGTTAAATAACAATATTTAAATATTATTCTCTATAATTACTCCCTTGAGTTTAAATAGTATTTCTTGATTGAATTGAATAGTTACTAAAAATGCCATATTAATATCGCTAAGTATTTGAAAAATAAAGTTTTGTAATCGTTCTACCAACAACTTAGCGGACACTGTTGTCGCTTGTGACATAGTTTTTCAATGAAAAAAGAAAAACATTAAAAAAACATATGAAACTTATTTGACATACCTGTAAAGACCTCGCGAGCTCTGAGTCCAGATACCGTCCTGTAGTCCTTCTATCAGGCAGTATGTATTTGGGGACTGACTTGAAGAACCAGGCGCCTGACTTCTTCCACATCTCCCTGGTCTCCGCGCATAAGTTGCACATGTAGGCTTCTCTGGAGTATATTGGAGATCTGAGGGCAAAGTGAAAGAATGAGTATGTCTCTTTGTGCTACCTATTTTTCTTTTTACAAATTTTGCCCCACTATAGGGATTTGTCCTGTGACGAACTGTTCAGGAGATTCAAGTGCGTTTGGCAGAGCCCTTGGGGGGTTAGAAATTTGAAGATGGGGATGCCGTAATATAAACTCAGTCAAGCCAGGTCATTCGTGCTAAAGCATGGATCTACCATCAGAAGTTTGGCTAAGCTCTTGAAGTTCAATTCTTGAAGTACAAAACTCTTACAGTTTTGTAAACATTTGTTAAATTATTCTTTCTCAATTTTGTGTCACTCTTGCAACTTTGTTGTTATCATCGTACATGACATAACATGACATCATCAGCATTTAAGTGACCTGAGCAAAGGCCTGTTCTCACACGGAGAAGGTTTTACCATTACCAAGCTTGCTCAAGGCGGATTGGCAATCCTAACTATAATATAATATATACCTATAATTAGAAATTAAAGGTCCAGGTTTCCTCATAAAAATTTTCGCAAATGGAATTAATTTTTCAATGAAGTAAAGGGAGCGGTTACCTCAGAAATCTTTCCAACTATCGATAATATTTTAAGGCAAACTAAATATCTTTTTCTTTATTGATTCTTCCTACATTTTATGAACAAAATATATCTTTACACCTTACCCCATTTCACAAATATGTTATACAAGCAACACTACGCTTTATCATCATTTCTTAAGTTTCAGATACTTTCTCAGAATAGTCACAATATCCATTGTTCAATGCAAAGTTACTTTCAACTTTAGTTAAACAACTTAAAGTTGAGAATTCATTGCGGTCACTCAACTTTGAAGTTACTGTTAAGTCATCTGTTCACTTCGTTTTCTTTAAAAGGGATTATGATCGCGGTTTGAAGATGAAGTTTTTTTTGTTTTAAGGCGAACTTAAGTGTTAGAGAATTTTCAACTTTATGTTCCGTGCCATAAAGTATAGATTGGAATTTCGTTTAACTTTGTTAATAGCATAGTGGTTGTTGCAAAGGAATTTGAACTTAAACGATGTGGAATGAGGTGGAAAGTTGCATAGATGGGGTATGATGAAAATTTTCTTTTATTTCAGTAAAAAGTCAGCATCTTATGTTAAAGGTGGTATAACAATGCACTTCGCTTTTCAATGAACAATTTGAAAACAGTCAAGTGTGAAACGTAATTAAAATTGTTGAACATTTTTTGTTTCGCTGGTTCCGTTCGAAACAATAGGAATTTTCTTCTCTGAAGTCTAAGAGAGATGTGTACATAATCTTTACTATTAGGTATCAATTTTGTTTCTTTGACCTGCCTAGCAACTGGAAAACAGATGGAGAAGGAACGGGGTTCTACTAAACACTACCTGCTTAAGCTAAGGCCTGGTACATGATAATTATTAAAAAAAATGTTAACGTTGCATTTCTCCGTAAAATTGAGGTTACCGGAGACAAAATTTCTTACCACATCCCAAATCCCCAATCCTCAAATACTTTACGATGCATAAAAAGTCGATAACGCACTTTTAACTCAACTTTGTATTCCAAGTATCCATGGGCGGCGCCGACTGCTTACCATCAGGTAATCCCTCTGCTCGTTTACCGATCTATGCTGTAAAAAAATTAAATCCGGCGTGAAACCACAGCATTGTGTTTCGCCGTATGAGTGAGGTTACCGGAAACCCAATCCTTACCCTCCCCAATCCCTCATCTCCAAAACCCTAATCCCCAAATTGGCGGCTATGTACTCGTTACTCCTCTATGTTGATGTGCGAGTCGACGGGCGTCCCTAATTGCTTACCATCAGGGAATCCGAATGCCCGTATGCCGTGCTGTCACAAAAAACACCAATAACAACCAGCTACAACGCTAATGTATTCCATACTGTATGTACACTATTTTAAAAATATATCATATTGTAATATAAAAATGTATTATAAAAATATTAAATTTAAAATAAATTGCATTTTATAATATATTTTCCACGAATAAATTAACGCGTGCTTCTCTTCAACGTTTTTGTGTTCACAAACGATGTTATTTCAGGAATGCTTTTGTTGAAATTCAGCAATTTCTACGCTCTGATGAGTTAAGCGATTTGGTGTTTGTTGCTCGTTCTTCTCCATCGGAATCTACACTTTAGAACGAGCAAATATCTTCACTAAGAAGACTGACCGATAATGACACGTTATATCTGTAATGTAGGGTATTCCTAAGTTAAATTGTATCCCGTATTATAAATGAAGTGCAGGTCGACCGCGTAAGGCAGTCAATAAAATATTGTTGTGCGAACTACGCACAACAATATTTTATTGTTTTGTTAAAATTTTTATGTTAAATTTTTTTTTATCTGTTTTGTTAAATCTTTGCTTTATTCTACAATATCTTTAAAATTTTGTTTGTCGTTCAAAACTGCCTGTAAGACTTTAATTGAAATAAATGTTGTTTTACCTTTTTTTACTTTTTGGTGTTGTTACGCATCAACGCATGGTTGCGGAACTAAACTCAACTCAATAAGGTTAGACAAAATGAGGTTAAGGTTCAGACATAAATATTTTTATAAAATATTTGAAAAAAGAACACAATTAAAGAGCACAAATAAGCAGGACTAAGCACCGATGTTTCCATATTAAAAGAGCTTCGCATCAAACAAAGGCTTTCTTCTATTGTGCAAGCAAGAACTCTTAAAATGTTTGGCCATATCATTCGAAGTGAAGGCTCAATGAGAGGAGAATAGAGGGTCAGCGTCCTCGTGGTCGGTCACCAACTAGATGGACGGACATTTTAAAATCAGTGACATCCAGCTCAATTGTGGAGTGCGCGAGGAATACCACTAACAGGAAAAAGTGGAGAGAAATCGAAAAGGCAGCCACCAAGGACATACCATGACCACGACCACTGTGACTATATTGTACGATTGAAACGAATAGATTACAGGAACTCAATATATTTTAGCGACTTAAGTCAATAAAAATTGCACTCTTTTGTGTCGTGGGTGCGTTTACAAACATACAAGTTTACATACACATCACACCCAGACCCGGAACAACATTTGAAGATCACAAGAAGAGAGACACGCGCACATGTTGTGCAACAGCCAGTTACCTAGCCATTTTGCTGTGCTGTCTGTGATAAAAATGCATACAAAAGTTGTCTGTAAGAGATCTCCTTGTGTGATAAGACCGCCCATGTAGCCATTATAAGCTTTATATTATTTTGTAAGTTGACCTATGTAATATTCGGAGTACAATAAAGTTCATATAAATATCAGAACTTAATTGAAGGCTTCTTTGTATGTACATTTATTATTTTGTAGATAAGTAAATAGAGAATTTTACAAGTTACCAAGTAATTTGATTCTTTCGATAGATTATCGGAAGAAACAAGTTATCCATAGGTACGTAAAAATATTATTATCTAAGGCACGCAACATATTAAGCGCGAGAGCGCGTAAAGGAAAACATCGTGACGAAACCTGGACTTATAATTTGAGCCCCACCTTGAGCAAGCGTGGTGATTAATCCTCAAACCTTCTCCGTGTGAGAAGGGGCTTTTACTCAGCCATACATACTTATAAGCTTTACTTCTAACCTATAAGTATGTATGACTCACAAATGGTATCTGTGAAAATATATGTTTGTAAAAACATTACACGAAATGGGACAAAAACCTGGTGTTTTTGGAGAGGAGAGGAGGACTCATCAAATTACTTCTTTTGCCCTGAATGGGAGGGGGAGTTTCAAATTTACTGACTTAAAACTGCCAAGCTCCTTATCCTGCTCTATCTAGACCGAGGCCGCGATATATTACTGCGCTTACACTTGCGACCCCTTAGTGTGACGACGCATATTAAAAAGAAAAAATATGTATTTTCTTCTTTAAACTAATGCAGCATGCATTTCCCCAGGCTGCGTCGTACTTCAAAAAGTTTCCAACTTAAAAGCAATCGCACTTTTATGAAGAGACACTCGATAGGGAAATGTTTGAAATCACTTTTTTAATATCGACGCCGTATTGAATCTGATTCGCATCCGAACAGCTTTATTGAAAACCTTTTATGGATTCGGTTTTATTTTAAAATAAAATTGTAAAGAGGTTCGTCGCTTTTGTGTTCGTTAGATTTTTTTTTTCATAAAGTACCTACCTATAGGTACCTACCATTGAGATTCGTTTGTGTTATTTTAGGCATTGGTACTTTATTGTTTTAAATGTTTTTTTTTTCTGCTCTGGTTTTGACCACGACCGCTGTATATCTTGATCATCATAATGTTGTTATATTTTTTATTATAAAAAACTTTGCCATTCACTGGGGTTTTCTCCGGAGTGGTGGATGCGTTTATTTTACAAATAATCCAATCAAATTCGGCGCAAATTGTCGGCGAGCACGAAGAGTAAGTAGTATATACGAATAATAAATATTTAAAATATAAAAATAAATAATACAATCATAACCTCCTTTTTGCTTTCTATAGTTGGCCAAAAACACACGAAGAAGCACCTTAATCCATACCAACGTCTCACATACCACATACACATCACACCGCTAAAGACAACACAAGCAAAGACCTCTTCTCACACGGAGAATGTTTGAGCATTAATAACCACGCTTGTTCAAGGCGGATTGGCGAATTCAAACTTAGTTATAAGTCCAGGTTTCCTAACGATGTTTTTCTTCCCCATAAATATCTGTGTCTTATTGACTTTAGATGATGATGTCGTTATGGCCCGGTGAGGGTATGAGTTCGAAACTTGGCAAGTACCAATGTTACTTTTTCCGAGTTATATGTACTTTGAAGTACTTTCTATGATTATTTAGACACCAGTGACATACGGTGAAGGTAAACATCGTGAGGAAACCTGGACTTATAATTTCTAATTATAAGTTTGAAATCGCCAACCCGCATTGAGCAAACGTGGTTATTAATGCTCTAACCTTCTCCGTATGAGAAGAGGTCTTTGCTCAGCAGTAAGCACTTATAGGCTGATGATGATGATGAATGACCTTAGAAAGTATATATAAATCTAATTCGGAAAAAGTCCGATTGTTATTTGCCAGGTTTCGAACCCACATCCATACGAGGAGCTGGCACCTTAACTTTCGGGCCAAGCAACGTCTACAAGCAACTAAAAGAGAACACAATCTAAACCTAATAGTGTACACTTAAGGATTAATTTGCCATAACAAAGAGCATTATGTGGGAGGATTATGATATTAGGGAATGAGCGATGCAGTGTCTATGTAATCTGTGCTGAGTGGCTTTGTGTACCGGCGTTTAGTCTGTGGTCTCTTTGTGAACGGATCTTTGTGGTAGGAATAGAGTAGACTTGAGCTTTACGGGCAGAGAGTAGATGTGTTTTTTTTATTTATTTTTGTTTGGCAGTTTGTGCATGGAACGATTGGTTAACGACAACAAATAGATAAGTTACTTATTTTTTTTGACTATTGGAAAGCTTATTTTCTGTAGATTTACTAATTTATATAATTGTTATTTGGAATTGGATATTTTATCATTTATCATTCTTTTAAAATAGGGGATAGTATAAGAATATACATTTTTTTTTTCATGGGTTACGTCGACCAACGAGCTTATGGATTACTTGATGGTAAGCAAACAGCTCCGCCCATGGACGCCCAACAACAGAGGAGTTACGAGTGCGTTGCCGACCTTTTGGAGATCAGATTTAAGGATTGGGGTAGGGGAAGGATTGGGCCTGCGGTAACCCACTCACACGGCGTAACACAGCACTGTGGTTGTTACACGCCGGTTTTCTGTGAGGCCGTGGTATCACGCCGGTCGAGCCGACGCATTCCTGCCGAAGCATAGAGAACTGTCTAACACTTCATGTATTTCTTGTTTTGTTATTACTATTTCTTTATTTTTATTATTTTAATTTTTTTTTTAATTACTGAATGGTTATTATAAAACCAGTGTTACCTTATGATGCATGCTGTGACATCTTAAAATGTTGTGCATTTATGTATTATTTTAAAATAATATTTAGTTAAGTATTAATGTAACAACTACTGATTGTCCAAATAAATAAATAAATGTACCGTGCCGTATGTTCAGGTTACTTCGTCCCTCGGGGTAACTTTGATCCAATCCTCTTTACCAATAATAACTCAGAAAAAAAACGTTAATTAGTTTTTCTTTGGTTTGGAAGTTAGGGTCAAAGTCATCCCGCAGAGTCAAAGTAACACTACGTAACTAATATTTCTATTTAGATTCGCTCACCAATAGACCATCACTGTACTGGAAACAAAGTTGATGTGTCGTTGATTTTAATTTATTAAAAATTGTTTTACATTATACGATATTTTTAATTCAGGTATTTTAATAAAATATTACATTAACTACTAGCTATTCTCGCGCGGTTTCACCCGCTGCTCAGATACACTTGATCGTAGCGTGATGTTTTATAGCCTATAGCACTCAGAAACATTGTAGCTATATAGGTATATCAGTAAAATAATTTTGACAATCCGACCAGCGGTTCTAAAGATTACCCCCTACATACAAACTTACAAATTTTACCTCTTTATAATATTAGTATAGATTTAAGGTAAATCTTTTTTATTTAAATGTCAACATAATCTGTGGTAAGTCGCTCGGTATGGTGTTGTATAGTCTGTGGTCTGTATGTAAACGGAATTCATAGAGGCATCTTTGTGCGGCTAATAGAGTACACGTATGGCTAGTTAGTTTTGTGTTTGTTTATGTGTTCTTATGTTCGTTAGGTTAGATAGCAATTGTGTGTAAGGTGTAGGTTAGATAGTAATTGTGTCTGAGCAGTGCCTATTGTTATGATTGTTATAAAAGCTCCAGTTGTGCCGGCCTATCCGCACCAAAATGGCTCTTTGACACAAAATTGCAATCACGCGGAACTGCTGGACATAGGGCCATCCCTGAATTGCCAGATAGGTCGCTATAATCTCCATGCTTGGCAGTAATTAAACTAATTGAACGAAGATTCCTTCGTTAGTTTGAGTATCGAGCATTATTTTGTTTTGGCGACAGAAACTGTCAGAATTTTACTGACTAAAAACCACCCCGTTCTTTCTCCTGCTCCAGGCCATAGCCGCAGTACATTTTTTTTTATTTAATAGGTCTGCAAACGAGCAGACGGATTACCTGATGGTAAGCAATCAGCGCCGCCCATGGACACTCGCAACGGAGGAGTTACGAGTGCGTTACCGACCTTTTAGGGATTAGGGATTTGGAGATTTAGGCATTTAGGAGGGATTGGGGGAGGGGAAGGATTGGGCCTCCGGTAACCTCACTCACACGGCGAAACACAACGCTGTGGTTATTTCACGCCGGTTTTCTGTGAGGCCGTGGTATCACTCCGGTCGAGCCGACCCATTCGTGCCGAAGCATGGCTCTCCCACACTTAAAATTATCAATAAACATTATTATGCTTTCCCCGCAAATTTGAAGTTGAACATCGGCTGTATTGAGCCCCATCTGTGATGGCCTGTTCGCTCTTTGAGGAACGCTACGCTTTCAGTAATAGCAAATAACGAAAAATATCCTGTAGAAATAAATCTACAACTTCCTCACCTATGTGGAAGATTTTCAATGACACACTTTGAGCATGCCGTGTGTCTGCAGATGGAGCAGGTCCTCAGTGGCGCGAGGAGTCGAGCTGTCTCGCCGCAGAGAAGGCAGGTACGGGGGGCGGGGCCTTGGGCTGAGCGGCGCATACCTAAAGAAAGAAGAAAATTAAATTAGGCCTTGTCAAAATATCTTCGTGGTTACACGTTGATGTGGATTCGAAACATTGCAAAAAAAATAGTCTCCGAAACCAATTGAAACTCGGTCATCGGACTAGTCTATATCTATACTAATATTATAAGGAGGTAAAATTTGTAAGTTTTTATGTTTGTATGTTTGTATGTTTGTATGTTTGTAGGTTTGTAAGTTTGTATGTAGGCACTGCTCAGACTAAAACCGCATACACAGAATTGCTACCTAAGAACACATAAACAAACTAACTAGCCATACGTGTACTCTATTAGCCGCACAAAGATGCCTCTATGAATTCCGTTTACAAACAGACCACAGACTATACAACGCCATACAGGGCCACTTAGAACAGATTATGTGGACACTTTAATAAAAAATATTTAACTTGAATCTATACTAATATTATAAAGAGGTAAAATTTATAAGTTTGTATGTTTCTATGTTTGTAAGTTTGAATGTAGGGGGTAATCTTTGGAACCACTAGTCGGATTCCCAAAATTCTTTCACTTATTGATAGCTTTAATGTTACAGGGTGCTATTATAGGCTATAAAAATCACGCTATAATCCAATGGAGCCGAGCAGCGAGTGAAAACGCGTGGAAGTAGCTAGTTGGTTATAAAGATTAAATTGCCCTAGTTAAAGGAGCAGGGTGGTTTTTAATCTCAAAATCACTGTCGGAAGCAACCTAGAGCAGCACAAGTCATTTAGTAAGTCTGCGGGATATTTTGAGGAAAAATTACTAAATGATTTTCTCTTACCCAGGGTACGGCGAGAGTTAGTGTCAGACTTTTACTAAATCATAACCGGTACCTTATAGCATTTGCAACGCAACACAACGTGTCTTACAGTCGGCAACCGCATTTACGACTACAGAACCATAGAGCAGTTTTTATTTAAATGAGCAAAAGGCACTCAAAGGAATAATATCTCTCAATTAAAAGCGACGTCTCGAGGCATTAAGGCTAAACGATTAATTAATCATCAGTGCGCTTTATAATATAGACGCTCTCATTAATCACAAGTGAATCGGCAGGAAAATGTAATAAAATTTAATGTACCTACTGTCAATTTTTTATGGTGTTGAAAGTTTGACTGCACGGTTGGCGCGGTGGCTGGGCAACTGGCTGCCGTGCGACGTGTCGAGGGTTCGATTCCCGCACGGAACAACAATTTGTGGATCACACAAAGTGTTGTTCCGGGTCTGGGTGTGATGTGTATGTGAAATTGTATCTTTGTAAATGCACCCACGACACAGGAGAAAATCCTAGGGTGGGGCGACGTTTTTTTTTTTTTTTAAATGTATTTATTATCTTGTGTTACGAAACAAACTTTCTGTTCCTTATAATAAACTAGCTGTCTGCCTCTTTTTCAGATCCTAAATTATCTCGCTACCAACAAAAAGATCAGTATTTCCCAATTTTCCCATCTATTTTTCTAAATTTTCTTTCATAAGAACGTGTTTTATGCGCTAACCGACACATTTTGCAATCCATTTTTATATTATAGATGTATATTAATTTTTTCTTAAATAGTTTTCCGGGTCTGGTCCGTACCTACTTCGTTATTTTTTTTTTAGATAGGAGTTAGAATTAAATATATTTTTTGATATATTCATATTTTATTACCTACCACTATTTGTTTCCTAGATAATGGGACAGATTCGATTTTCTTCATTCGATTCACTGTATCTAATCTACATACGGTTAACCTATACGGTTGTTGTAGTCAGGGACAGATTTCGTGAGATCGGACCATCCCTTTTTTCTTTTTTCTCAATGCCTCCTATCGAAGGAGTGCAGAAATTACTTCCAGCATGAAGTATGTACTTTTATCTGTAAATATCTCTTTACATGTGCTCTAGCGTTAATATATTTTTATTTATAAATAAACGTTACCACTTAATTTTTAAGAGTTAAGTAAGTATATTACGATTTTGGGAATGAGTTTTAAGTCTATTACTACTTACTAGACGTTTCACAAGTTTTAAATTTAAAGTATTAGTTTCCAAATATCCAATTCCAAATCTATATATATCGCTTAAAAGGATCGTTTACATATGGGGCCCAAAAAAGGACTAAATACATCCCTGTACACATTTGCTTATAAACCAATGAACATACATACATATTATTATATGTTGTTCTAAATATTAGTAAAGGCCTAGCCTTCATGGTCTAATGACTACAAAGCTGTCAGCGAGTATTATATAAAGATATAGTATATGTATATATGTATAATCGTCACGGGTAGTTAGGACTTGTAATACTGATATCGTATCTGGAAGGAAAAGTACTATCTTTGTTAGCGACCGAATTGTGACGTCATAGCGTCGTGTTTTTTAATCGAAGCTGCTCATTTATAAATTATAACATTCAGTTTTCAGAAGTATATTTTTGGTGTTTTTCTATAAGTGCTCAATTCTGAGAAAAGGTCTCTTTCTCCTAAGGTAGGGTTATAGGGTTTAAGCTATAATCACCACGTTTTTTCAATGTGGATTGGCGATTTCAGATTGATATGGGAAAGAATCATTGAATGACTTCTCTAGCCAACAACAGAGGAGCTAAGAGGAGTGTATCAGACTCTTGATGAATAAAAACTATTTAAACCATTTACTTGGTCCTTGAAGATTAAGGTTAACTTCGGGGAACAAAAGCATATTTTAAATTTCTTAATATGTAGTACTAGCTACCGCCCATGGCTTCGAAGGTATGTTAATAAAAAGTAACCTACGTATTAATTTAGGGTGTCATCTGTCTATCTGCTCACCACAACCAAATCGGTCACAAACATCCATACATTCATGCTTTCACATTTATGATATTAGTAGGATATTAAGTGTGGGAGAGCCATGCTTCGGCACGAATGAGTCGGGCTCGACCGGAGTGATACCACGGCCTCACAGAAAACCGGCGTGAAATAACCAAAGAGTTGTATTTTATCGTGTGAGTGAGATAATCGGAGGCCCAATCCTTCCCCTAACCCAACCAGTTCCCTTTCCCAAAAAAAAATCTCCAAATTCCTAATGCCCAAAAGGTCGATAATGCACTCGTAACTCCTCCGTCATTGCGGGTGTCCATGGGCGGCGCTAATTGCTTACCATCAGGTAATCCGTTTGCACGTTTGTCGACGTATCACATAAAAAAGGAAGATAAGTTTCACATGTATAATATTAGTGGGATAGTATGCTAGTTTCAAATTTATTATATCAGTAGGATGACTTAGGTTAACTTACTTGATGTATATGTATGTATGTGGTGTGTTAGTTTATACGGTTGTATAACCCAGCACACTATTCTCGTCATAATATTCAGAGACATAAAAATCTATTAAGTTTAGCCTAAATTGGGGGTTATGGAACACTTGCTTATGAGGCACGTAATGTTAAAATGCCTTGAGATGAAAATAAATTTGTGCGTAGCTGTTAATGTCTACGGTCAGCCGGTGAGCGCGTCGCGTAGCAACAGGCTACGGCGGCGTAGCAAAGACTTACTACGCGTTTACTACGCGCAAATGTGAGATTATAATACTTAAAGAGCTGACATAAATAATTAGGTGTAGATATATTTAGGTGCGTTAAAATGGATCCTCATAATAGATGATATCTTACAGATTCTTTCATGACTAAAAAAACTACCATAATTATTAGAACTAGCAACGGGGTATTCGTACCTGAAGTATCACAGTAAAGATATCGGAAAGAATTCAATTTTAATTTTTCCAACAGACTAAATAAAAAATGATAAACCTACAGTTTATTTATTTATTTTAGTTTATTTACTAATAAATATATATAACAACCAAAGACTAAATAAGCATGCTATGCAAGTACAATTACTTTAAACATATCGCACATTTTACGTTCATTGAGAAAAAGCTGTTGCTTATAAATTGAATCACTTTTGTTCCTGCAATTTTTAACCATAAGGTGATCTATCTGCTCCCTTGGCCCTGTCATCAAAATTATTAATTCACCGAACTCTAAAGCGAACGCCGGCGTCCGCACATTGCGTCTCGAATGACCGCATTTGAAAGGTTAATAGATAATAAATATAACCTTACTTTCAAGTCTCGCCACCAGTCTGCCGACCCTCTTCGCTTCCACTTCATCAATTTTCTCCGCTCTTTTTACGACAGCAGCTATTGCCTCTCTCTCGCTCGCTGTGAGGGGCGGCTCGCTGCGGGCTGCACTCCATCCTGTGCGTAATCTGTGGCAGAAGAGAAAAATATGTAAAACATTCATGACCAACTCATAATAAGTGTGGGAGAGCCATGCTTCGGCACGAATGGATCGGCTCGGCCGGAGTGATACCACGGCCTCACAGAAAACAGGCGTGAAACAACCATTTTTCAGCTTTTTATCAACACACTCGTACTAGAATTTATGCAACATACTCAAAATTTGTCGCAATAAACTCAAAAACGCCTGAACTAATTGTGACAATTTTTATTTTATCGTTTTCTTATTGTAAGTCAAAGGAAATTTCAGTAAAGTAGTGGAGGCAATTAGGCTATGGGGATCCTTTACCCGTTAACAACGTGGTTGGATATCGGAGCGAAGCAGATATTCCATATTTTATTCAACTCTAATGGAAATACTTATATTCAAGAAAAATATACATATGTTACATTGTGAGCCGAGGCCGAGGCTAATAAGTACAACATAATACCTATTTATGACGGCGCACTATTTATCTATGACGAACTGGATACAAGAATGACACCTATTAATTTTATAGATAAGGGCGATAGTCCTGTAACTGTGGTAGGTCAATCACCTTTATGTATTACTATTTCTATAGTAAATCTTAGCCTTTTCTTGTTTTCCAACTGAATATAATAAGTAACATTAGTCTTGGCTGGACTGATTCCGCAAAGAAAGCCAGCGTGAAACAACGCCAGCTTTATTGTTTGTAGTGTGAGCGTGGTTAATCGAGGAACCCTAAAACCACCTAAGCCCTATCTCATAAAAGGCAGGCAACGTATTTGCAACATCACTGCTGTAGTGGGTATACTTGGGAGGTTTGCTCATTTGGCAGCTTATTCCATAAACATATCTCATAATTTAAGCCCCACAGAAAATGAAGGAGCTAGGCCTTCTTTTAAAAATAAATGAGAAAGGTTTTTTACTAGAATTCTTAAAATGGATAAACGACGTCAATATTGTGGAAGAGCCATGCTGCGGCACGAATGGGTCAGCTCGACTGGAAAGATACCACGGTCTCACAGAATACCGGCGTGGAACAACCAGAGCTTTGTGAATCGCCGTGTGAGTGAGGTTACCTTACGCCAAATCTTTCCCCTGCCCTTATCCCTCCCCAATCTTCTAATCCCCAAAAGGTCGGCGACGCACTCGTAACGTATTCCTATTATATATCCGTATTCCTCTGTTGTTCCGGGTGACCTTGGGCGGTGTGGATTGCTTACCATTAGGTAATCCGTATGCTTTTTTCCATCCAACAAAAAATTACGCGTTCATAGACTATATGTTACATCTATACTAATATTATAAAGAGATAAAATTTGTAAGTTTTTATGTAGGGGGTAATCTTTGGAACCGCTGGTCGGATTTCCAAAATTCTTTCACTGATAGATAGCTACAATATTCTTGAGTGCAATAGGTTATAAAACATCACGCTACGATTAAATGGAGCCGAGCAGCGAGTGAAACCGCGCGGGAGTAGTTAGTAATTATGTAAGTGTGTATGTTATACGATGATATAACCTGTATGAGTCAGCATACATCGGTGCAAGTTATCAGGCCGCGGATTACTCTATCTTTGATCAATAATATGACATAAATAGCGAGGGAAAACAAGCGATCATTTACATATATTGTATATGTAAGTATTGTAAGTAGTGTTTTCTGCACTTATGTTTGTACTAGCTCATTTGTGATGTTTTACCTACTTTAAATTAAACTAGCTACTCTCGCGCAGTTTCACCCGCTGCTCAGCTCTATTTGATCGTAGCGTGATGTGTTATAGCCTATATAGCACTCAGGAACATTGTAGCTATCTATCAGTGAAAAAATTTTGGCAATCCGACCAGGCAGCGGTTCCAAAGATTACCTCCTACATACAAACTTACAAATTTTACCTCTTTATAATATTAGTATAGATTGGCACTAATCCAAATCCAAACTAATATTATAAAAATGCGAAATTAACTCTGTCTGTCTGTCTTTCTGTCTGTTTGTCTATATGTCTGTCTGACTTTCCATCTTGCCTAAACTACTGAACCGATTTCTGTGGAATTTGGTACAGACATAGTTTGGAACTCGAAAAAGGACATAGGATAGTTTTTATACCAAAAATCTGCAGGAAGTCACTATTCCAAGCGGACGGAGTCGCAAGCAATATCTAGTTTATAATAATTGACACAAATAGATTTTCAACTATTAAATCTGTATCATAAGGTGGAAATTAATAACAGAATTCTGGGCTAATACACATGAAGTCGTGAGTATACCTTTTCCGATTGGGTAGACAGAAACCACAGGTCATTTATTGCCTATAATATACTTTCCTGTCCAGGAAATTGGATCTCAGTAAACAGTCAGAGTTATAATAACACGACCAACGAGGCATTCGTCAGTAATTAGGTTAAGTATACATATGTATATACAATAAATGTGATGTAGATATTATACTGTCTTCATGGGTTAAGGGTAAGACCTTTTCCTTTGAGGGCCTGTTCCAGTACCATGAAACTAGATCGTAAGTCATTTCACGTAATTTTGCTTAGTCATGACACGCGTGAACGGCTACGTCAATTACGATAATCCATTTTATGCTAAACTAGCACTCACCAGCGGCGTCGCACGCGTTATTTGACTACCTACCCTGCTTTACCTACCCTACTATATCTACCCTACTCTACCTACCCTAGTCTACCTACCCTACTCTACCTACCCTACTCTACCTACCCTACTCTACCTACCCTACTCTACCTACCCTACTCTACCTACCCTAGTTTTCCTACCCTACTCTACCTACCCTACTCTACCTACCCTAGTTTTCCTACCCTACTCTACCTACCCTACTCTACCTACCCTACTCTACCTACCCTAGTCTTCCTACCCTACTCAACCTACCCTACTCTACCTACCCTACTCTACCTACCCTACTCTATATACCCTACTCTACCTACCCTACTCTACCTACCCTACTTTACCTACTCTATCCTATTCTATGTCCTTCTCCTCTAAACTACCTCCCTGCCAATTTTCAGCTAAATCGGTTCAGCCGTTCTTGAGTTATAAGTGGTGTAACTAACACGACTTTCTTTTATATATATAGATAAGGAAAAAAATCTTAAGAAAGAAAAGAAAATTATAAAAACTAGAGGGTTTACAAAACAAATGACTGACAACTGGCCGCTGGGATTATTTGATAGATAGTTCATACTATTACGTTCTGTATTCAAATTAAGCTGGTATATGGTGGCTGTCCAGACATTAAAACAGCCCATAGATAATTAAAAAAAAATTGTTTTGCTCGGTTTCTATGATGATTTTTCTTGCCGAACACTCTTTTTATACAAAAATTTATCGAAATCGTTGGAGCTGTTTTCGAGATCCTTTGAACACATACTATTAAATGCATACTTATACAGAAATTGTTCATTTAAGGTCGGATTTGTCAATGGTTAGATAAAAGTTACCTGGGGAATAGTTATGATGCTATCGCATCAGAATGTTTGTATAAGACAGTGACAGCAACAATTGTATTCTTTAAATAACATTTATCTGAAAAATCAGCCCTAAATGTATTCGATACAATATCCCCAAATACCATTCGAAAAATTCAAATAATTTCGAACATTCAACCGACCGCCCGCCGCGTACAAATATTTTCATGCCCAATAATCCGTGGGGGTACTTTCGACCTATTTCTCTAACATCATTGAACGTGTAAAGAGAGTGACCAAGGCGGTTAGCGGACCATTCAAGGTCGTGTGGTATGGGCGACCAACTGACGTCACTTACATACCTAACAAGCCGAGAGGAGTGGTAGGGTTGATTGGATAAATATCCTATTCTGTTATTATTTATAATATTATAATTATATGACTTTTGTATGTATATGTTGTCCTTTTTTGTAAACCGTTAGTTGGAGATGCGTACTTACTGCTCTTGATTTTAAGGTTGTTTTTGGCATGTTTCGATGAATGCTGAATTGAAGTCAGCGATTATGATTGTCATTATTATGTTTTTTTTTATTTTATAGGTCGGCAAACGAGCAGAAGTATTACCTGGTGGTAAGCAATCAGCGCCGCCTATGGTCATTCGCAGTACAGAAAGGAGTTAAGAACTACAAGTTTGTCGCTGGCCTCTTGTGGGTTATTAGGGATATGTGGGTATTGGAGATTTGAGGATTGAGGATGGGAGTTTGGGGAGATTCCGGCCACCGCGGCACCGGTAACCTCATTCACATGGCGAAATACAACGTAAGTGTGACTCATTTGTGCCGAAGCACGGCTCTCCGACACTTAAAAATCTTTTATCAATTTATGCACATGTAATGTACCAGGTTCGATATCGAAGTCAAATTCAAAGTCAATGTCCTCTCAATGAAAATGATCTAATTACAATAACTATCCGTAATAAAGCGTAGTACGAAATATTTCAATAACTAATGACGTTGCCATGACAACCGAAAATTACATCAGTCACCTAAATCATGACAGAAATCGACACGGGTGTGGGTGTCAATATAGCCTTTCAATATCTGTTTCTATGCCATTATAATGATAAGGTTTACTTTTGGACGCACCCCGTTATTTTGTCAATGTGTTTACGAAAAGATAAAATGGTTTGAAACAATATTGGGTCAGAAATATAACAGATTCAAGTGTGGGAGAGCCATGCTTCGGCACGAATGGGTCGGCTCGACCGGAGTGATACCACGGCCTCACAGAAAACCGGCGTGAAATAACCAAAGAGTTGTGTTAATAACAAAAGGTCGACAACGCACTTGTAACTCCTCCGTCGTTGCGGGTCATGGGGTCGCTGGTTGCTTACCATCAGGTAATCCGTTTGCTCGTTTGCCGACCTACTAATTACATAAAAAAAGATCTTTTGTGAGGTTAAAGAGTTAATAAAATTGTATCTTGAAAATATTTTTCAAATTCCTCGTTTCAGTTATCGTCATCATAAAAACAACACTATACAAGTACGTTTAATTAGCTTATTATTATTTTGTCT